CAATAAGATAAGATATATATTATCGACTTGTATTTCCTTGTTTTAAAATGGTAAAGGTAAAAAACAAACAAATTATCATGTATAAAAAAGGAATTATTTAATGTATATTGTTCTTGCCAAATTAAACCAAATGTGAAATGACTTTAACTGAGTTCTACAGCCCACTAAAGCACTATTTATAGATTTCATCAAAGGACTGTTATTTTTCCTTCACTCACGCAAAATGGGATTCATTATTTGTGAACAATGTTGCGTATGCGTGATATTTGGCTGTCTATCTTTTCCCCATTTGCTGAACGAGCGCTCTAGTGTGTTTGTCCGAGTGGGATGGCCATCCTCACTTGTTTGTTGTAAATTTCATTTAGATGTGCAATTAAATTTTAATTAGGCTGCCTCTTCTATTACTATTACATTACGGCAGGAGTGGAATTAGAGGACGAGCTTTTGAGAGTGAAGCCGATGTATATTTATATATATATTATATTATATATCGAAATACCTTTAATTAGGGAAAGTTCCTTCTTGGGGCTTCCGTGCTATTATACCCTTGATGTGTGCGCTTTAATTTGTTTTTCGTCGACTGTTTGTTCCTTTTTCGAAGGAATTTTCTGTACTTCGTACTCTGTGCTGTGTGGTATTTGTAGTTTGCCACCCTGGGCCATCATTTGGTGAAACAACCTTCAGCTGGTAGCTATTCCCATTTAACTGTAATCAATTAATTCATTATTATTCGTATTCTGCTTTCGAAAAACCTGCCACTTTGCTTTATTGCATGTTGAAGTAGTTTTTCATTATTGGCTCTACCTTGTTGCACACAGTCGGGGGATCATTGAGTTCACCGGGGCTCCAGGGGGCAAATGCACAAACTTGTCGGCAAGTTTTCCAAGGTAATTCACAGGCAACTTAGCTCTGCTTCTTTTATTCATCCCCCCTCCCTTCCCCGACTTCCATTCTGTTCAATTTCAGTTTGGTTGAAGGCCTCTGGGGTAACATTCCAAACAAGATAGCTGAACCAGAACAACTGAGGCGAAATCTTTTAGCCTTTAAAGTATAAAGGCGCACTGCTTCCGTGCTTTCGTGTGATTGCTCTGTGGATGGAAACAGACATGTAACGATCGCTTTGGCCAGCCTAAACATTATTCAAATGCTATTGAAATAAATGGGTCTTTCGATTTATGTATTTTGATCTATAACATCGTTTTTCAAATTTGTAGAATTGTGACAACATTTAAAGCTCTTTAGTTTATTAAACCAATTAAAGTGATTTTTAAAAAAATGTATTGTGTATATTGTACAGATAAAATATTTAACTTAAATTCGTTTAATTATAACAAATACTGTGAACATATCCCCAAGTGTTGTTTTTAACACACGTTTAAATATGTATCGACTTGAAGTTTTTGTAGTATGTACTAAATGAATGCACATTACGTTTCAACACTGAAACACTTTCCGACAAGTGTTGTAGCAATTGAAGTCCTGCAGTGAAATTCCAAGCCTTTCGATTTAAACAGAAAGGAACAGAGAAGAGAAACAGCAAGTTGTACGGATTGTCCTGACTGAAAAAAAGGGGAAAACTATATTCCTGTACACATCGAATGCTGTTTTCATTGTCGCTGCCATTTTCATTACATTAACCGCTTGCCAAAGCATTCAACTTGCCAACTCGCGCCAGTTCTACCTGGCTTTTGTTGTTTTGTTTTGCTTGTATTATAATGCCAGTTACTGCTGCTTTTTTTTCGCTCTCTTTTTCCGCTGCCTTTGCAACAGTTTTACTGCGCTGTTTGTTGATTTTCCAGTTGCTGATGCGACAACCCCCTTTGAGCCCGTTAATCCACCAACCTGGCCAGGTGCAGGGGCAAAAGTTGAACGCTTTTGTCGCTTAAAAACATCACAAGTAGGTTTGGGTACGGGGGGGAGGAATCATCAGTGACAACAGCGAAAGCAAAGGCAGACCCACTATTGAAACAGCTTTCACTTCGATTGCAACTTCCGGTCCAATCCAGAACAATTCAGAATCCCCTTATTGTCCAACCACCCGCATCAATCAATGGGCATATGATAGGCCCCAAAAAAATCCAGACACATCGAACCCGTGCATCTCATCGCTGACCCCGCTCAACTTCGACAGGTCAGGCGTTTTTATAAAGCCATAAAATATACACAAACTAACTCAGAGGTCGGGCCCCAAACGCACTGGCACACGTTTTATTTTGCCTCAAAGGGGACGGTAATTCGCATGACTGGGGCTGGAATGGGTTGAAGTGCGGGTGAGGGTTGGCCCACAGTCTGGGACCTTAGACTGTCAACGGCCTGCTGGGGCAACATTTTTAAACAACTACAGCCAGAGGAGTAACTGAGAACTTTTCGGCTCAACATTATAGTTGAATACCAATGCAAATAGAGAACACATATGTTATCTTTAAGGTTAGAAAAAGTAACAAAATATTGTATTTTATTTTTATATCCTTGTAAAAGATAATAAATTGCAGTCAGAAGTATGTATAAAGATTTTATGCAAGCAAGTCCTTCGGATTTAAATTATTCTGTAGAAACTTAACTAAGAGTTTTCTTTCTATAGCAGGTATTAAATATGTTGTGATAAGTTTACCCACCATATTAATAATAAATAATAAAACTTAGAAAATATATAAATTCATAATTTGAATAATTGATCAATGAAATATATTGAACTTATTAATTTGTAATCATTGCAAATGACACTATCATAGGGCAATCCAATATTTTGTCATTATGTTGTAAAAAATTAAAATTAAGATAAATGATAAAAGATTAAAAGTGCATAAAGGTAACCCTTTTATTTTGTTTTTCCTCCTTTTTTGAAACCCACCAAGCAACTCTCGCTTTTCTAGCTTTTTGAGTTGTTGTTCGTGTCCTGTTTTTTCTTCGGTTAAAAGGTCCTGCTTATGTTTGGTTTATGTTTTTTTGCGGGCCCATTCTCAGTTTCGGACTTGGGCTTGCCCCGAAAGATTTATGTGCGTAAATTTCATGCTGACGGCATCAGGTGATTTAACACTTTAGATAACTTGGAACAGTTTATAGTCGGAGAAGAAGCGTCCACCCACCCGCAAACTGCCTTTAAGCCAACAAATGTCGAGGACGCTTGGGTAAGCGTGGACTCTAAGGATGGGTGAAAAGTTGTATTTTTATTATTTTATTTTATTGCGCTTACATCTTTAAATAAGTTTGCTTCGGTCGCCCTCTTATTGGGTGTGTATTGGGGTCCTTTGTTCGGAGATCTGCCCTTCGGAATTGATGCGTCTTTTGGGGTCATAAAAATTACAAAAAATTTCGCTCGCCTTTTTGGGCTGATTGCTGTGTGCGATTGAGCATCGTTGGTTGGTCCTGTTTCCAGTTCCCAGGTCCCAGAACCCTGGTCCCCTGACACTTCCTTTCTTGCTTTCGTCCTTTCCTGCTTGTTCTTCTCTCGTCCCTTTGTTTGTTTGTTGTCCAGATAGGATATAAATTATATTGAGCGCTTTGAATTAGTTTTTTATGTGCCACACATGTAGTGAAAATGAAATTAGATACGTGTTGGGTACGAGTTAATTTGAAGGCACAGATTTGCCCTCATTCCCCGAACAAAAAGGAAACTTTTTCCCTGATTTGTCTTCGATTGATAACTGCGCGGGGGAGAGGGGCGGTGGGAAAAGGGTTCCCCAAACGGGGCGATATTTAAAGAGTTTACTTTAGTCGCACAATGCTCCACAATTGCAAAACTCCACTGGGGAAAGTTCACCCTGCAATTGCATCAGCACCACCAACAATGGCAAGCAATTACCAAAATACAAAAAATACTACAAAATCGAAACCAGAATAAAAAAGCGAACCAAATACAAAAAAAAAAATGGGAGATTGCGAGAATTCAACTCCAACACGAAAAGGGCAAGCGCGAGAAAGGAATCGCAAAAAAGCGAAAATAACATGGAATTGTTAAGGAACTGCAAACTGCAAATCCATTAAACCACAACAAGAACAAGATGAAGCAGCATGAGGACCAGGACGAGGACGAGGATGAGGATGAGCAGTATCCAGCAGAACCGAGCACAACTCTAAACTGCAGAAGGTATTGAATCGAAATGGGGAATGTTCCGACACAATTGACTGAAAATTGTTTGTTAAATCTACAGCGCGTTGAACGTTGAGCACCACGAAAGACACTTGTAAATGTATTTTTTTGAGATTAGCCGATACGGTTTAAATCCAATTGCCGTGAACATTTTCCAGAAATTGTGAAGCTTTACAAAGCAATCTCCTCACGCATTCCTAATGAAATCCATATATTTAAAAGTTGTTTGCCATCCTGTTTTGCTTAAATTATTATATTTATTAATTTATTTATTTTGATAATAAGATTTAAACCTTAAGCAGGGAAAAACATATTGTTAAGGTTTAATTAATCGATTGACATACATATATTTTTTGCCTGTTGAATGAAAAATCTCAGCATGAGGGCTACATATATTTCTCTTTTCCAACGAGGGTTCTAACTATTTTTAATATGAATATAAATCAATTATTTATATATTTTTCATTTAACTATTGTCTGAGTTGATTTAAAAATCTTAAAATTTAAAGTTCATATTAAACTAAAATGTAATGCATTTAAAACAACTAAGACCCATTTTAAATATAATTATTTTTAATATATCATAATAATTGTAGATTTACTTTAAATAAGGTTTACAAAATTTTATTTAAAAAGCCAGATATTATCTTGAATGTTTCATTTCTTATCAGTGTAAATATCCACAAAAATATAATGAAATGAACCGATTATTTTTAACATATATATAGCCTTAATATAGACTTTTAGAGAGAAATGAGTCGTTTTGTCATAGTTGGTTGCACTCAACAAAATACATTTTTGATTCGTTTCCCCTTTGTATATAAATTAGATATTGAAATTAGTTTGATATGCTTTTGATTAGTTAAACCTTAACTAATCGCATTTTTCAACTATTTTATTTGGTCCTTACAAAAAATTAGTTTCAAATAGCTGTTTCAAATATGAAGATATATATTAATGTACTCCTGGGTAAGACATAAATGGTGACTTGCAGCGCTTAACAATAATTGGATATTCCTAATAGGTTTAATACTAGTGGGTTTTGGATGGGGCCAAAATTGCAATAGGCCTTGTGGGCCGTGCATATTGCCAACCTGCAACTACGATGGAAAATGTTACTACGAGGGAACCAGCGCTTGTGGACTTGAGAATGAGAAGTGCCGCCGAAGGATGAACAGTCTTCCCCGTGAGTTGTTTCTTAAATATAGTTTTTTTATGATTCCTTAGTAATTTTTTAATTTTAGCATTCATAAGATCCGATGCGGGATTTTGTGAGGATGGTGTCAACTTGTGTAACTAGCATATCGAAATCTTTTATTCTTTAATGATTTTAAACAATATAAACAATTCATTAAAAATAAAAAAATATATATCTTGGCCAGAAATAGATGGCTTCAAATTGCAATAATCCACTGGCACAGCTAAAAGTCCGATTGCTCCCCAGTTTGACCAATGGAAACCACAAGAAGACAAAGATGAGGAAGATTTAGATATCCCACTTCCCAAAAAAACCCCCCAATAAGAGCAGAACAACCGAGCCACCCAACTATGAAAAATTTAAACTTTGCATCCAAGCCATTTATTCATCCTGCTTGGCATCTGCCATCATATCTTAGCATGCGGTTCTGCCTTAACCTCCCACTTTTCCACCCCCCCTTGCTACAACTTAAAACTACCATACCATCTATATCCTGGCTCCTTTTTCGATTGGAGCTGGGGGTGCACCTTAAAAATTAATTGAAACATCACTACCGGCTAATATTGTATATTAAAAACAGCAAAAGGAGCCGCAACGAGCTGGGAGGGAATGGAAAACTTTTGGGGTTAGCTGAGTGCTCTCTAAACTGGCAGGAACTTGCAAATTGCCAGTGTGCGTGGCCATTTATCAGTCTTAGTTTTCGGGCTAGTCGGGAAGAATGTTCCACAATAAATTCGAAGAACAAATTTGGTTGCCACTGACGGGAGTTTATTAGCTGGCAGCCGGTATTTTGCGGTCAAAGGGCAAACTGAACTTGAATCCCTCCTACCCTCCTACCCTCCTCCTGCCCCCCAAACATTCCCATTCATCTTCATCTTTGCCCATCGTCATCAAATCACTGTCCAGTGTAGAATTCCTCTTCGAAATTTCAAAGCATTGCCAGGTGGCAAATTAATGTCGGCTCAGGCACGGCGCATGCTCAGATTCTCTGGGAATCGGGGATTCTTCGGGTGTTTAGTGCCACGACATGGGTCGTATCGTCTGGCTTCGGGGCTTCTGGTATTTGGTTTTTGGGTCTGTTGCGCCTAGGACAACAATTTCCGTATGTTGCATGTTGCTCGCGTGCCGTCGCCGCTGTCGTGTGATCTAAAAAACGAAGCGAGTGTCGAGGTCGCTAACGTGCCATAAAATGCGCATAATGTGGCACGGATGTGCCAGTGCACGTTGGTTATTTGGCGCGTGAGCATCGCATTCAATTGACTGCGAGTGAAGTGGAGCGTGTGTGGAGTGTGTGTGGCATAGCCGTATTGATGTTGCTGGTGGTGCGCGGCCGGTAAGCGGCAACATCTCGTACTTAGCCGGCTAGCTAAAATCGCGAAAAATGGTGACCACAAAATATGGATAGGCTTCGAGGGCCCACAAATATTATTGTTATCGAGAGATTTTAGATCTCAGTGCCTATGAAATGAAAAATAATCAAGCGGTGATTGCATAGTGAAGTGATCGGTAATCAAAACTCAAGTGGCTGCAAAGGCGAAAGCAAACGGAGAAGAGTAAGCTAGGCACATGCAACAACTGCTGGATACGGATACGCTTTTCAAGCCGTGAAAAGCCGCCGACCCACGAACCGCCACCCACAAGTCAAGTACGTAACAGATTGATGAGGCAGTCTCGAAAGCACCACCCACCAACCAACACCACCCACTCGTTGGCCACTTGACTAAAAGTTCAATTTCCTGCAAGATGCTTTAATTGAAGCGCACAGTAAACAAGAAACAAGAAACAGAAAGCAGAAAAGCGAGTAAAGGGGAAAAGGGGCAAAGGGGCAAGGGTCACTTGCCGCCTCGGGTGCCTTCGCTGTGGTCAGTCATTAGTCATTTGCTCATTTCCGCAAACGCAGCCCGGATGTGCAGCACTTGTCAGCCAATAAACAACCTCGACGGGTGGGTGGGTTGAAAGTGGCAAGTGGGTGGTGGACACTTCAACCCACACTCCCAATTAAATGTGGCAAACATATCGACGTCCATCACCGACTCAATGCATACTGCTGCTTTCCTGGTTTCGTGGTCCATACAGAAATTTTCCCTGGGTATTTGCATTGCCCCCCAAGCAACTGGGTGAAAACTCAATTTTGCCCATGGCAAGAGATCACAGTGGATTCCGGTTTCCATTTTCATTAAGCAGACAAGGGCTCTACGCTGCCTGGCCATAACAATAGATGTGTTCTTGAAAGCTGTTAATAATTTATCAGCTATTCGGCAAATAATCACAATGTCTAACACTGAGTTGGTTTAGCTTAAAATTTGTTTAATTAATTAAGTATCAGTTGCAGAAATCCAGCTTGCATATGCAAGCTTTTGAACTGCAAAATCGCATATATCAATTTATAAATTAATGGAAAATAATAGAAAATGCTAAAAAAACTAAGACTTTATTAAAAATATTTCATTAAATTATTAAAGGTTCATCTAAAAATTTTAAAATAAATAAAATCAATATACAATTGGTAAACTATGATTAAATTTGTGATCTAGCTAAAGAAGAAGTTTGGTTTTATTTCTTAATCAATTGCTTATAATACCAATTGACTACTATTAGTTACCATTATCATTCTGAATTGAGATTGCAATAAAGATGCTTTAAAGCACGGGCTCTTGAGCAGACAAATTTCTTAGCAAGTCGAAACTTTTCCCATAAACAACTCCCTTCAATCCGATTGTTTGCTCTTCAAGATGCAGCCAAGAAAAAGTGGAACGACCCAGTGAAATCTGGGGAACTTTTGGTGAGTTTGCGAGTGTGTGGCATGAGGAGGAGTGCCGACTGCATATGTGTCACACATTGAGTTTCTTGGACAACAATAGCCAAGACGGACAGGAGCAGGGCGCATCGTTCAGAAGGTGCAAAAACAGTGCATAGGTGCTAAAAAAAATAAATGAAACAACCAAGAACAACAATGGCACGGGGTATGGGGTATGGTGGGGGTGTGGGTGCGGGTGGAGTACCCAAGCTAACCCAGTTTTTTTTCGACGCTGGTTCTTCACGGCTCAGTTTTGTTTTGGGCCTCTTTTTTTTTGTTTTGCCCTGCCACTGCTGGTATATTTCTTTTTATGGCTTTTACGGACTGCCCGCAAAACGGCGACGACGAAAAGCCTCACTGACAGCACAAGAAACGAAAATATTTCGACCAAAAACTGCCAGACTTGGACCACCCACAGCCCTCAACCCATAACCCATTTACCACCCAACCATCCAGCCATCCATCCCCTTTGATGAAACCTGTTTTGTAATTGTTGTGTTTTTATTCCGTGTATGCGTGTTGTTGCGGATTTCTTTGGCTTTGCGAGCGTTTTCAGCGCTCTGGCTTCTTGCCTGGGCCATTGTCACGTAAATCTGTGACAGAAATTAGCCTCGTTGACAAAAATATGCCTGCTTACACATTATTTGTACAAACAAATGGACGGGCAACAGTTAATGGCGAGGAGAGTGTCGTCCTCGAGGTGCCTCTGTGGGTTCTATGGGGTATTCTTGGGGTCTTTTTCTGGGTCTCTGTGCTGAGGGGTGTCGTAGGTCTGGTGAAATTTGCATGGGAACTGCGCCAGTTGCCGCTGTTCATGTTTCTTGGACTGTTTTGCCCGGATTCCTTTGCTAGTTTTGTGGCTGTCGTCTCGGCTTTTAAGCTTCTTCTTGTTTTATTGATCTGTTTATGCTTTAGGACCTCGGTCCTTTGTCCTCCCTACCCTACAACCCCTGTCCAACCCTCATCATGGATAGACAAACACAAAAAGTTTTATTTGTGGACTAATAAAAATGCAAAAACAAAAAGCAAAAAAAAAGGAAGATGCGGCGACCGCAAATGTGTTTTTTGGGGGCAAAGTTGTTCCTAGGTTAATGACCAGATAGGCGTGAAAGCAATCATAAACACAGGGTCCACTCATACACTTTGCACTCGAAGTTAATTTACCTTGACCGGGGTCAGTCCTTGGTAGAAAGTTTACGCTGGCTTTTAATCAACTCATTATGAACCCATTCTGCGTATCAGTATCGTGCTGTCGATTAAATTATTTGCTAGCCTGATGGCATTTCTCACTGATTGACTGATAGACTTTCGGTTTGGTTTATGATTTATGCAATCAAATGAAATGAGCTTAATAAGTCAAATAACCGCTTTAAGCTATAAAAATGGTGATTTTTATTTTAAATATTAATACGTTTCGATATCAGGTAATTGGCATCTACTGGCTTTTAATCAATACATTTAAAGATTATTTATTGAATTAATACATAAATATAAAAAAAAAAACAAGATGTTTAAAGAAAAGAATTACGCACAGAATTTCCTATGTCACAAATGAAACATGCCAAAAACAAAACTAAATATATAACAATATAATAATAATAACGATAAATAAAACTCCAAAACGGTTTGACTTACGCATCATATCCCAAAATGTCCAAGTTGAAAGTCAATCCACTGACAATTTCCTGACGTCTACAATTTCCAATCCACCCCTAATTACAGGGACCTAACCTTAGCCACACAAAATAGTGAGTCAATCTATCATGCTATGGGTGTTTTCCTGATTAACACGAAACCTAGCCCAGGCAGGCCGTGCAACAAAATGATTGATGTCCACTACAACATTTTTCAATGTATCGCCTGCCCGGCCACGCCCCTTTTCCCTTAGAATATTGCGTTGGCGATTTTACCGCGGATACTAAACTTTGGCTACATAAACTGTTTATCGAGCCATTCGCTTTTATGTCACAGCAACTGATTGATTTTTAATTAAACGTCCACGATTTCACTGATTGACGCTAATCATACGCTTGATGGGCTTAAGCCCGGCCACGCCCCCACTTGTAGGGCGTCTAAATAAAAATGAGCACTTCCCACTTTAATTCGTGCACAATGTATTGAGAACACATTCGACGGAAATTAGATATTTATTGGGCGAGGCGTTGTCAGCCAAACCAATTTAAAAGGTATTGGCACAAAGCGAAGGGCATTGAAAAATAAAAAAAAAAGAAAAAGGGAAACGTGTGGAAATCGAATATTATCCAGATAGTGCCGAAGATCCATTTACGTGACTCGGAAATGCAAATAAAAAAGTGGAAAAAACCGCTTTCAAGCTTTTTTCTTTTTATTTTTTTATTGAATTGTACATAAAGGAGAAAAGAAGGGGGCCA